TGGCCTACACACCCGCCGAATCAAGACGCCAGCGAGATATAAGTAGTGCAAACGCTTTAGTAGCGTCTATATATTAATACACTAAAAAATCTCACGATTATAGCTTTTGTACGTGGCTTAATAACCTCATCTTTTTTGTCGTCTGATCTTGTTGGGGTGGCTCGTCACGCGAAGTGGCTCGTCACGCGCACGGTTACTGTAAAACACGTTACCTAATATTCAAAAGGCATGTTTTTATATGCAAGGCTGGTCTGCGATAACCTGGAACTTCAAAGCGATCTTGATGATGTGAAAGCGGAGGTTGACAATCTCCCAAGCGGACTCAATGAAGCGTAAGAAACTACGGGTCTTTACTCAAGAACAGTCAACTGACGTCAGCCCAGATACGGACGAGTCCTGTCACGGATTGAAAAAGATTTACCACCTCAAGCTAAACTCGAGGCAAAACAGATCCTGGAATGGGTGAGCTGTTCTTTGGATCTAATTACGAAGAGCGAAATCCAATTTGCTCTCATGATCGCCCGGGGGAAAGATCCGTCGCGCGGTTCTCGAAGACTTTTTATGGATATTTTCCAGCGGTGTGGCCCAATCATCGAGGAGATTAACGGCTATATCCGTTTTGTTCATTTCAGCGCAAGGGAGTACGCTATGCGTCATATTCTCTACCAGTGGCTCATGCTGAATTCTTTCCAGATTCCTTCTTCATGTACAAAGCGGACCATACCTGACAGAAGCTAAGGCGCATGCTGATATTAGCTCAACCTGCATTGATCTTCTTTTATCTCATTGTTTCAATGAAGAGCTCCCAGACGAAAGTGTACGCGAATACATTAAAGCTGGATCATTGTTACTAGAGAACTACGTCTGTCGTCGCTGGTTCGACCACATCATGAAGTGTGTTGAGTCAGCACCAGAGATCACCCATCGCAACATCGAATCCCTTCTTGATAAACGAAGGAATGATGGCTTTGGTTCTTCCAGTAACACAATCTCTGCAGGGAAGAGATTTAACGGCTTTGCAGGATTTCCCAAGGAGTTGCACACTGACTTGATGAATCTAGACTCTTTTTGGAGGTCGCGACGGCGCAACTTCTGTTTCAGAAAGAGTATGTTTTTCCTCTAGGGTGAGAAGATCTCGATAGATTAAACTAACTTTGGAAAGTTCAAAATTGGGAGAATCTCGACCCATTCACGATTTCAAAGCACCAAGCCCGGATACGACGCATCTTTGAGCAGATGCTTTGTTCAGGCAGCAACCATGTTGCCAATTGTGGTTTTGCAAAGCTTCAGGCTCTGTATGGTCCTCATATCTACGGATGCAGTAGACCAGGATGTGCTCGATTCAGGGACGGATTCAAGAACAGCGAAGAAAAAGATAACCATATTCAAGCTCACGATCGACAGTTCAAATGCGATTTCATCGATTGCCCGTATTATGACCTCGGATTTACCAGCACATCGCTTCTTCAAAATCACATCAATCAGTTCCATAAAAGTGGACTTCATAATTCAGCGTCAAACAGTAATTTCTTCGTCGAAGCGAAAGCTATTGTCGAAGATGCAATCAACCTAGACGATTTAAATTTGGTCCGCGATATGCATGCTAGTGTCCGGAAGCATGGCGCATACTTTATCAAGACCTGTCTAATGAGAGGATCATCTGAAGACATGCTCCGACTCATCCTGAAAATATGCCAGTGTAGTTGCCTCCAAACTCCACAGCCAACCAGCGGACAGCTTTCAGGTTCGACGGCTAATCAGCAGACACCACAGCCTGTCAACCGCAAGCGTGGAATATGTAAACAACATCAGATTGTCTTGCTCCGGAGTTGGAATTTGAACTGGCGTCAAGAGAAGCCTAAAGGAGATCCGGAGCTATTTCGAATCCTGCTGGAGCGATACATGATCAAGGTCGGTAATTTCGAAGACATAGCAAACACTCCTTCGCCAGAGATGTTTGAGCTATTCGCGGAATATGGTGCAGAGGTAGGAAATTACCAGACTCTCTTCCGCAGGCTCCTACCAACTCGACCAAATGCCCTGGCCGAGATTAATGCTCTGAAGTGCATGCAGGCAATGGCAAATGCTCTCGACATCAGAGGATATGAAACTTGTCTCGTAGTTCTAAGCGATAGCAGCTGCTCCGTTTCGATCGCAACATTTTGTCTTGAGAATGGAGCATCTGTGGAGGCAAGTTTGGCACAGAACAGGGGACCAACATCTCCATTACGAAGAGCTGAATGGAAGAAAACTCCTGAGGCAGCTCAGCTTGCGGAGTTGTTGCGCTCACATCACGCACTCCCATAACGACGGCTTGAGTGAATGGGCTTCGATGATCTTCTTTAGCAGGTTTTCAGCTTAGAGACAAGGCTGGCAAGACGCGGAGGCTAAATACAGCGATGGGATACAGACTTAATCAGACTGTATAGTGAGCAGTGACTGAATTATGGTCTGGGGAGGATTGTTGCTATCTACCCGGCGGTTGGTTGTGATATGACATGCTGCAAATTTCGTCCTCTGAAAACCAAGACATGATTGAGGCTGGTGCTGAACCCCTGACCGTTCGGGTAGGAGGGTGTTTACTGTGTTCTTCCGTCAAGGACCCTTGTTATCGAGTGATGAATGACCTTTGTCAAACTTGGTCGGAGCGCAACTCGAAGCCCCCCGTCAGTGTATATTACTCCCGTCTGTTTTATGTGAATGGCTACTTTCTCAACACTCTCGGCTCTGATTCGCCGGACGGGCATGTGGCACACCCTGCCGGCTCCGCCTTGTTTCTTCCGAGGCACAAAATCTCTCTGTATCTCCATTAAAGCAGGCAGTGATTGTGTAGTACAGATCGCAGGCTTCGTCGCCCTAGTTTCCTCTGAGTTTATAAAACAGTAAACTGACTTCCATAAGTTTTCTCTAGACTATCGACAAAGACTTCTTGTACTACACAAGCATCATCAGTTCGCTTTCTAATATACTCCGCACTCCGAGCATTGTCCTTCTCAGACAAGGTGCCATTGGGAACACGATACCATATCTAAAATAAAGCATTCCTTCACCAAGCTCTTCAACAGGCTGTCCACCCGTAACGACTAGGTTTTTTTTAGCACATGTACAGGAATATGTTACATAGGGTTTAAATCTATAATTCTCTTACTAGGTCCTATACTAAGGCTAGTAAGCTTTACACTTATATTCCGTTAGGTTTATTTAGCGATATAGTAGAGTAGTATACTTAGATAGAAAGTATTTAAAAGTAAGATAACCTAATCTATATTACTATATATCACAAAAAATAATTTTATTAAGTAAAGTAACTAGTAAGAATGTATAATTTAAGTTACCTATAATAAAAGTAAATGAGAAAACCTATCTTTCATAATATACTTATTACTTCTAGTTCTACAATCTTATCTATCTCTTCTTAGTAATATTGTAGAGATAGTACTACTATTTCTCTATATACTATTATTTTAGATAGCTAGCCTTAGTAAGATAGTATATTACATACGTAACCTTAGACTCGATAATAATCTATCACTTTTTAACGTAGACGTCTCTAGGCCTTTGGCTGTCTTGTTGTTCATTAAGGTGAGAATCCTTTTTATTACTTGTAACAGAATACTATTTTCATAGATTATTCCCTGTTTCAATCTTTTGATGAGGGATGCATAGGCGCTGATACTTGAAGTGATCAATATCGGTATCTTGAGCAAAGAATAGAATCGATCATGATTCATTGCGTGGAATGACGATGTTCGCCCGAACGGCTTGCGCATTCAAACAAGTCACTAATGTGTTAATATTGGGGTGGCGGGGAGTGGGGTGGATCACCCTGCGGGTGCGGCCCGTGTCCTGTCCATCCCATCGTCATCCAGCTGTTCGGTACGCAGGATCTCCGCAATCAGGCCCAACACATCTTGCTCCTTGAACACGCATCTATATCCTCCAGTACCTATAGGCGATGGCCACAAGGTAAAATTTGAAGAATTTCGCGCCATACACAGTGCAAGTGTGAGTCAATGATCATGGGTATTACCACACACCAATTTTGTCTCCAGACATTTGCACAGAAGCGACTGACCAACTTCCGGTACATAGCACCTACTTTTGCTACCCATCGGGGCATAGACAGGGTTTACGCCATCCTTGAATATATGCACTGGCATATCAAGCAACATGTCTCCTTCAGGAAGCCTGCGTCCAGGCCGAAGAAGTCGGGCACAAAAGTCTGGTCGTGGAAGAGGCGCGCCCTCCCATAACCAGACTGCGTCACGAAACTCGCGGAACGAACGAGATCACCGAAACCCCGGTATGCTACAGCCGCTGGTGCACTGGCCGCAACCTCCTCCTCTGATAGTTTAGTACAACTTTTACCACCATCTGCCAATGGGAGGAACAACTCAGCTCGTGCAGTGGCATTCAGGCACAGGATACATGATGGGCGGTGTTTTTATACCGACATTAAGCACAATAACTACTACTGTGTCTACTGAGTCGCATATGGAATACGGGCCATCGATGGGGCCATACGCTCCGGCTAGCGAATCACCAGAGCTTTGGCCATTCCACGCGGGCACCCATGATCTCGACGATGTCGGCGCACAGTTCGCTGATGAGCACACGCAATCGCTAGCCACAAGCGATGGGTCAGGCAAATATACTGGTATACAGGACGAGAGCAGTACATACCCTCGTATCATGGTCATTCCCAATAAAAGCAGAGCTGGAGTCTTCGACCCAGCTGGGATGTCAGACTTAGACAACAGGGGTGGGAGTTAACTTCGATCAAGCGTATTTACTACCACCAGATCCCCCCAGGGATTATTCAGAATCATTGTCTGATAAAGCGTGGCTTCGTTAGATTCCGCCAGGCATACGGCGTGCTTCTATGATTCCAGTGTTAGGCCAGCATAAGGAGCATGCAATTTAGGATCTAGTAGGCCGTTCTTTGTCTATCCATACCTTGTTAGATTTTCTTTGGATGATCACCTTCTAGGTAGACGGCCTCAAAACTCTACAAGTAAGGACATGTTGAAGTCGTTATCTCCAGTTCCTATATTTCTATTCATCCAGGCATTTTGTGGATCATATTACGTAATGCATTGCCGTTAGCGTTGGCATCGGCGTTGGGAATACGACATTGGAGATTAGCGATAGATATACGCGGCATACTTACAGCAAGATTCAACGCCACACATTAGACAGGTGTCGCTTAGCGAAATCAATACTTTATGTTCTAGTAATAAGAGACTAGCGTTGCGCCCCCAAGCAACACAATCCAAACAACTAGTGAAACTGTAACACACACTAGAAAAGAAGGAAAGATAGAGTTCGATTGCTAGTATTCAAAAACCAACAGTAACAGATAGACACTCTATCCAGAACATCTATCCCTTAAAGGGCTAGGAACTCTAGGGGCTATATACAACACTATGCTCGTGCTAGTACGGGTCAGTCAAGGGTCGAAGACGAGTTGGAGAACCTCACAATAGACATACATGATGTTCAGAGCCCAGAGAGGAAAGCCATTCATGTAGTTGAAGGTGTGTTCTTTGTATCGAGCCACAATGTTGAGGGAGAAGTTCCAGAGACCAATAAGGATCATGAAGAAGAAAACAATAAGCCTGATAGCACGGAGGGTGACAGGCCTCAGGTTGTATTTGTTTTGAGAAGGGAGGGTGGGACACGTTGTAGATGTGGGGTGTTTGCAGTAGTGTGAGAGGGATGAGATGGGCCAACGACTGGCAACGCCGATGGATGAGGTCGATACGGGGAGGATAAAGATGCCGCCAGGCAAGGTAGCGGTTGTGAGCTCGGTGTGAGCACACAGCCGAGTTCCGAACTGCAAGAAGTAAGTGGTCGTTACTCAGGGTATGTGCAGTGGTTTGCAGTGTGTAGAAGAAGAGCTGCAGGGGACAGACCTTATAGCACTGGGCAGGCATTCCAGCCGCAAGTGACCTTGGTTTAACAGATGACGATGCTAGCACACCCCTCGAAGTCTGCATCGTGGCAAACTCGCCCGTCCTAGACGTCACTCTAAATCTGTTACACTGCAGGTTACTGTCCGAGATGAGGAATAAACTGCTGCCATACAGTAGTCTTATAGCAGCTTAACGGTAGAGAACGCATAGCTACAAAGTCTTCTACAACTATGTAGAATCGCGCTAAGAGATGCGTAAAGCAAAGAAGCTGTAGCAGTATAGCTGTAAGAAGAGGAAGAGAAAGCCGAGGATTCTGACTGGTAGTATTATTCCTTATCCAGTCCCAGATCGTGCGAGGCCTTGGCCTTGGCCGTAGTCCTTCACTTATTCCAGATTCATCTTTACGTCTGTCAAAAGGGATCAGGCTGAGGCTCTGATCCATTTCCAGAATACCTTGGTCCTTTCGAGTCCCTAGGCTATACTGGAGATAAGGCCAGATTCTGAATGTTATTTCGGTTACAATAAAACAACCAACTAAAGTCCCAAGAGCAGTCAAAGACGCTACTCTCCACAAGAGCTGTTCTCTTTGCGATGGTAGGCTCAGGTGCCAACCTGCAACAAATATAGCACAAAACCCAAAGTAGTAAATAGCACCTAGGCCGAAAAACCAAGTTGGAGGCTCAGGGCTACTGAAGTTCGAAAATCGATCAATTGGGCGTACGCGAGTTCCAGCAGGTATGCCAAGTCCTCGAACTGCAGTTCTAAAATGAGCCCAATATATCATCCAGAACCATTCCCTGCGGTCAAGGAAGTCCAATGGAGTATTACCATACGGTTCGCGTGCAGCCTCACCCCCAGTCAACAGTATTTCTGCTATGCTTGCATTGGTGGTGAGAATTTCGGATACGCTCACATCGGCGGGTTTGTGCCACCAAAAGAACATGGTCGGCAAGCTTGCGTATATGAATGCCACAGTAGTTAATTCAAGGGCTGTTGGACTGAGGTTTTGGGCAATTCGTGTAAAAAAATTGGCTAGAAACCAGACAGTTTGGGTAACCATTAGAAATCGGGTTAAATTATCGACTTTGTTCCGATCTAAGATCCGCCCAGTCAGAGCCGAAGGAATCGCGACGTATTCGTGTTGAATTAACCAGAGGAGTTGTTTTGCGGATATAGGAAAGGGAACCCAGTCGCGTGTTTGTAAAACAAAGCCGCCCATTTCTGCGAAAAAGGCATGCTGAGGCGACCAATCACTAATATTAGCGGCCTTAAAGTCCTTGACAGATTGTCTTGCAGCGAAGTATTGGCCACTAGCGGTCATTGTAACGACCTCTGGTGTGAATAGAGTCAGAATGAAGATCATTGCTTTACGTCGCAATTTTGTCCCATTTGTGTCGCGAGGACCTGGTACGTTGAGGCAGAGCATCGACCAGCAGCACAAGAAAATGGTGCTTGTGCAGCTCCAGAGGATATCCATGGTCCCTCTTTCGCGAAGCGATGGAGTCCAGCCTCGCCGGAGCTCTTGCTCTCCATGAGCCATGTACAAGCTCGACGTGTTCGCAGATTCGACCTTGGACAAAGGCTGCGAAGTCACATAGGCGCATAGACTTAACATTAGGAAGGCTAGTTGAGGAAGCATGGTGAAGTGGTGGTGTGGTGGGCGACCATAGATTGGCAAGTGATACTAATGAATTCTTTATGGACGGGGACTCTGTAATAGTCTAAGGGCTGTATCAACTTATGCGCAAGAGATAAGGCTTCTGGTGAACCTAATACTTCTGCATAAGCTGCATAAACTCGAAAATGTACCCTGAAATCTAAGTCTGCCTTCCAAGGCAATTGCTAAAACGCATTGACATGACGTACACAGGCGTTTAGACGTAGACTCGTTCATATACTTGGCCCCATTTGAGCCAATTGAACAACACCGGTAAAATCCATCACCTCACCTCAAGAGCCTTTTTCGCAGTTCAGGGGAATATCACATGCATAGGGGAATCCGTGCTCTGCCAGGTGCTGGATCCTGGCGCTAAGGTGGCCAACAAGAAAGCAGAGTTGCCGTGGGGCAGATACAAGTCTGGCGCTGCCGAGCTGGTATGGCGGCGCTTGCACTGCATCGCATTTGTGAATGATGCTTCGCCCCGCAATCTCAAATGCGAGAGCCGAATGCAGCCGCATCGTTGCCTAATCATATATCAGCGTGTCCGCATCGGACCTTCATGGAGAGTGGTGATGGCTGACCCCCTGAGCGTAGCAGGCTTTGTAGCAGGTCTGGTCAGTCTCGCTATTCAGCTATTGCAACTGATCTTCCAGTACGTCTCGAGCGCAAAAGGATCTTCTAAAGGATAGAGCTCATACATTCAAGAATTGCCAACCCTCAATTCAGTCCCGTTAAAGCTCCAACAATCGAGCGACTATGGCGGCACGCAAAACCTATTTCATGTCCTGCAAACATCAGGAATCTCTATTGGCACTGTATGGTAATGTCACAAAGAACTAGATAGTCCAAAGACGACGTTATCGGAGACGCTTGCAAAGAAGGGTTTGCGGGGGAAGTTGGACATACTTCCTTAGTCATTCTCGGAGCTCAAAACTGAAAAGAAATTTCAGATTTTGCATCGATACAGCAGGTTATTTGAAGCCTCACTCATTGCCGAAAATCTGAGCATTTCTCTCAAAAGCTACCTGCCAACAGTCATCAGATTTCTTCCACTAGGAACAATTTTCCAAAAGCTCCAGGTCAACCCCCCGGCTTCCTTCGAGCCGAGTCATGGCAATCAGTCCCAGCCAAGACATTACTACATCAAGTACGACACACCCAACGATAACTCAAATATCAAATATGGCAGTTACCCCGACGTCCCTACAGAGACTTTACTCGATACCACCACTTTTCACAGATACTTACGTGACACCTCATCAGTTCAGCCAACTTTCTTGCCTGACGCGTTGAATGGCACTACATAGACCTGGAGCGGAGAAACACTTGCGCCCCCCGCTTTCAACGCTAGCTACGGCACCGACATCGATCGTCCTGAATGGCCCTCAATGAGTTATCCGATCTTTCCTGAAGTTGGTCTGGAAGGTGATACCTCGGATACTGTACGGACATACACTCAGTAGAGCATAGGACCAAAGCCTTAGCTCGTGCTTGAAGCCCTGACATTCGACGCGACATTTACCCTTCTGTTCTTGCTTTGGCGACCGCTCAGCACTATCCAAGTTCACTAGATTCAATGGGAATGGCCCGATGTCATTGGTGTTTGGCTGGTGAGCTACTGGGCAAAGCTATCACCAGCGTTGCCTCGAACGAGCGTTTCACTCCAATCTTTACGACTCGACGACTCATGGCTACCTCTTCTCAGCACACTCTTTTCCTTTCATGATTCACCAACCCTCTTTGTTCATCATCTCGTGCCAACGTAAATCGTTTTATTACTTTCATGTCTCCGCTTCATTACTATGCCCTTAGCTCAATATTGAAAGAGAAACCGATAAACGGATACCCACATACTGCATATAGGCATTAAAATATCTGCGATCGCCTCTCAAGATAGTATACTAGCATTGACTGATGAACGATATATACCCTAGCCTTCAGGCTGATCTTACCAACTTGCTCGTAAACTTTATCTGGTCATGCTCTTCACATATGTGACTGCAGCCAAACAAGTGGACGAATGACACAAAAATATTGCCATTATGTTTATTAGAATGGCTTTACAGGTCCCGGTCCATCCTGAAAAGTCGTTCCGGCATGCTCATACAAAAGCTTGAATGCGGACCTGTAGGAGGGAATGGGATTATGTTGGTCATGAAGCTCCAGGAGCTTGGGGCCTATAGCTCACCAACGACCGCTCGACGTCAACAACGTGGCACCCATCTCACACGCACTCTAGCATAGCCAGACTGGAGGCAGCCCCGACGCGTTGAAGGGACTGCGCCTAGTCTTTCTATACCTACCCACTGTGCGGCTGCATATACAGAAGTTTAACGGGCACCGTTACAAAGTGCCAGTTAGTAAGAGGTGTGCAATGCTGCTTCCCATCTTTGTCCTTCTCAAAAGGCCGTGACACAAAATTGCTTCCACTTGACTTCTTTACCCATTACCAAAAAAAGACAAAATATCAAGCTTTCCAGTGCGGACTAACAGCTCGCTATCCCGCGATTTGTGAAGTGCTTGACAAGCTGAAATATTGCCCACTATACTAGTAAAGATAGGAGAGGCAATCTTTAAAGACATGCTTGGATGATGGCATGCAAATCTAGGGAAACTAAGAGCAGTTATTTTACAATATCCATACGGGATCGGTCCGGTGATTATAGTTGCCATTGAGAGCGATTCAGGGGCTTAACTATATAGTAAGGCTGGCGGGGCTGAGCTAAAAAAAAAAGGAGGCTACGTACACGAGGAACACGTTAAAAGCCACCACCTAGCAATAGCCAATCCTTCAACCGCATAGTCCCATAAGCAGTGGACCTCATATATATTAGCATCGTGTTCTTAAAGATTAGTGTGATGTAATTGCATCTCCCATAGTTCAATGAGGAACGATATCTTGAAGGTTCACCAGTCAAAGAGGCTCTCTCCTGCGTCCCCGACCCTCAAACCGACCCTAAATCCGCCCTGTCAGCAAAAGCGCCTGCACCCTTACGGCGAGCACACGAAGCCCGTGCGGCTTTTCACGGCCTCCAAGTAGTGTAGGGTTAGCGATTCCTTCAATTACTCTTATTGTTCGTTCATGCCCACTACTACTTTGTGAGCAGTCGAAGCCTTGACCCTGGCAAAGCTAAAGATGAACTCAGTGAAGAGCTCGTGGATACAGATGAGGAAGAAGTTGCGGCTGCACCCCGTCCATTCTCTAAAAGCGAGAAGACTAGGAGCTCGACATTTACGCAGTTACGGCTGTCCAGCATGCTAATATGGAGCTACTACAAGTGATCCGATTGTTTCTTCTAGACACTACTCGGAAATTCTGTAAGCGATGATCTGCAAAAGCCTGATATCTGCTCTCGGTTATATGTATTATGCTGAGCTGTACGCGGAGGAGATTACTCTAGGAAAAGCCCTGTACATACTGTTGGGGATAATGTTTAATAGAGAGAGTAGAGAGCGTATTCATTATTACTGGGTTTTTAGCATACAGATAAATTAAAAGTCAACATGCACTGCTGCCCACACGGGCGGCTTAGTTCATCTATCTACTGAGTTTGCTTCCAGGCCCACCTGCTACCCATACATCTTACAAGATAAACCAACGCTATCAACACAGGTACCTCAATGAGGGGCCCAACAGTAGCAGCTAGTGCTTGATCGCTGTTGGGACCATATGTGGCAACAGCAACGGCGATGGCGAGCTCAAAATTATTGCTTGCAGCTGTCAAGCTTTGGGTTGCTCCCAGTTTGTATCCATACCCGAGCTTGTTGCAAAAAAAACAGCATAAAGAAGAATATGACGACGAAGTATACAATAAGTGGTGCCGCGACTCGGACAACGGAGGCGACTTGGTGGACGACTTGGCGACCTTGGGAAGCAAAAAGAACGAGGATGGTGTAAAGTAAGCCAATGAGTGACCAGGGAGCCAGCCACTTCAAGAATGTTTTTTCATACCATTCCGGGCTGACGAAAGTCCGCAGCGTAAACCGCGTTAAGACTGCAGCGCCTAAAGGTATTCCGAGGAAGACTGCGACACTTGTTGCAACTGTCCCATAGGAGACAGCAACGGTACCATTTTCACGGCTGATAACCTTGATGAAAAGGATGGCGAGTGGAGCATAGAGTATCATCTGGAGAATGGAGTTAACTGCCACCAGGATAGCGCAATACTCGTCGTCGCCACCAGCAAGCCCATTTCATATTAAAACCTAGAAATAGTGTAAGCAATGCATTGTATAAGTGGCAAAGAACAACCAACGTACCATAGCGATGCATCTGGCTAGTCCGACTGAGATTAGTCCTGTGCGCAAGTCGCTTCTATCAGGTAGAAAGGCCCAGGCAAGACCGAGCTGCATCGAATTAGCCGAAGATCTGGCAAAAGGTAGATACATACCATCAGGAGCGGAGCTATGATCCAATTCATGAAGATACTGAGTCCAATCTGAACCCAGAGAGCACGTGTACGAAAAAGACAGTACAAAGTCTCGTAGCGTACTTTACAGAGAATCGGATACATCATAACGAGTAGTCCAAGAGCAATGGGGATAGATACGCCGACAAATTTGCCTTTCTGAAGTGCCGGTCCTGTTTCTTCGACAAAGTTGCCCAAGAGAATTCCAATAATCATGGCAACCAAAATCCACAAGGCGAGAAAGCGATCCAGCCATCCTAGCCCTTTGATTACTGACCGGTCCTTCACTGCAACTTGTTCCTTAAGCTGTAGCTTCTCGACATCTGCATCCCTGTGAGGAGAAATGGGCTCGGTATCGACGGGTTGGGGCTCTTCCGATGACAAGGCCATGATGAAAACTTCGAGAAATTGTTCATGCAACAGTATTTTTTTTAGAAGAGTGTAAGAAATTTTAATAGTGGTAGTCAGAACGGACGCTGACAGTAGTTACGTTTTTGTATCTGAGTTAATGCTCAGAAGGAGCAAGTTGAGATGATGCAACGCTACGTAGCGGCTTGAACCAATGATCGTCCAGCAGTGACTCACCAGCTCGCTACAAATGAAGGCAACTGTCCTTGGGTAGTGTCGCAATGGTCCCTCACGACATTCGTATGACTGCTCTTCTTGTCGCTCAAAAGTTTCGCAAATCGTCTCGCACAATGACTACCGCAGGAGTCACATCGCCATGGCATGCTGCATACCCAACACCTAGAGCCACACCTGCTACCATTTAGCGCGAGGATGTGCTCAACATGATCAAGCAAACAGCAGAGACACCCAGCAGAGATTATATGCTCATCGATTTACGCCGTAATGACTTTGAGGTATGTAGTATTGATCATTACCACACCTTTTGGTTCAAAGATCTAAGTACAGCAGGGCGGCACCTTACGGGATTCAATTAACCTTCCTGCGCAGAGCTTGTACCCTACTATACCAAGCTTATACAAATTTTTTAAGGACGCAGGCCTCCGCAAGATAATCTGGTTTTGTTGTACGTTTTTACCTACTGGTTCGATACTAGATTGCTCTTAGCAAGCGCCTTCCTCTTTGTACATATAAGGCTGACTGGCGTTTTACGCACTCCAGCTTCTTCTAAAGGGCGTGGCAATCGTGCCGCTGGATGGTTTGCTGACTACATTTTGGACCAAGGAGACAATCAAATGAAGAGTCTTGCTCTTGCCGAGGGCGTGAAGAGATGGGCAACGGCAGGTGATGAGTACGTGAAATGGATGGTTGAGTACGACGCTGATGTCTGGTCGTGATATTCAGCCGTTGAATCAATCTTACTCTAGTGTGTAGTATCAAAGCCATCTACAAGCACAAGGTTGACCATGCGGACTCAAGGATGCTCATTGAGGCCTTGTACAGTGATAATGCAATCCAGAAATGCACACGCTTATGCGAATTTCTTCTGCTTTTCAATACAACTTGTCAACTCTAATTACGCATAAGAAACCCTAAATTATTGTGTATGTTCCCGTTCATGAATTACATATTGGTCAAAGATATATGGCTCTTCCCATTTAAAGGTTTGGTTTTCTCCTCCTTGATTCTCCTTTGTTCTCTCTTGCTGTATCGATCACCGAAAAGATCAGAATGTGGCCGCACCACCAATGTGTACTTTACAAACTCTTCCATGCAGTGAACTAACCTGTCTCTGTTGCCACCAGGCATAAGCCTGCTACGCCCTTCGTCCGTATCCTCGTCGGTAAACTGTTTATAAGATATGGGTATCGAGCTCTGGTTTGGGATGGCGAGCATACGCATCTGTTCTCCGAGAATGCGCAGGGAGTTTACGGGGTTGAAAGATTGGGATCCCCCACAAGCTTGTGCGATTGCTAACGTGCGACCTCGAGTTGGGTGAATAGAGCCCGTTGAGAGAGGTATCCAGTCGACCTGATTTTTAAAACCAGCAATCTATATAGAAAAAGCTTGTTAGCTGAATAGAAAGCCCAAGAAACGAATTACTGCAGAGTGGAAAGTACTAGCAAGGTTCCTATGTTGCTCGGGGCTTATGCAGACATGGCCATCGCTCCACTTGCTGAGGTTTCGCAACTCTTGCACTTTTGGGTGCGAGTGCCGAACGTCATCCTTCACAAGGAGTCCACTAGGATTATAAATGCGAACGTCGCAGCCCAGTTGGAAGAGTATTCAGCTGGCCTCAAATTCCAGTAGGCGTGAATAGGACCTGTCCCTGCTTAGTTGTGCTCACGCAAAGATGGCACTACCGTTGAAGATGCTTGCCGTTGTCGCATACTGCCGTATAAGACAAGAATCTTCAATCAGTCGCTTCCGCTCTTGAAAACTTCATGGTCTACCATTTCCAAAGTCGTGCCAAGCTCGAGCCGAGCGACCCAATCTTGATCCGAGTATTCAGCATCCAAGAGAAAGGGTCGGCTCAAACGCGCTCTGCTCCTTTGTTGTTCAGGTCGCCATTCATGGCTGCGCTCATCAACCACGAGGACACTTGATCGAGCAGGTGTTACTGCAGAAGCGTATTCGTCGAAGTGACCGGCAAACATACATGAATCTTCCACGCAGCTGGAAGGATTGACTTACCATTAGGGACAGAGCGATAGCTGGCAACGCGACGGTATTGGTACATGACTAGGGGCGAGGCTTTAGAATGCATGTGTGTTACTGCCAAGACAAGACTAGTAAGTATGTCACTAGTTGCATGCTATTCGTTGGAAATCCATTGTTGCTTACCCACGAAGCGAACATCTCTTTTCATCATGCCCAAGGTCAAACAGTAACCAATCTTTTGAGCACGAGACACCAAACTTGCTGATCACATACATTCTGGGCATTATGGAAACCCCATATATCGAACGGCTCTGCATGGAGCCATTGTTTAGGATCATCACCAAGCTGCAGGTTCCCACAAATTTGCTGCAAAAGTGACATGCTGCCGCGAGCGGGTGACATACTGTATGGCCAACATAACTTGCCTCTCACGACCTTGGGAACACCCGAAAGTCCACGAGATACCCGCTCCATTCTTTGTTTCCTGATCTGCTGTAATTTGAATGGCGACTCAATCCGACCATCTGTCATCTACAGGAGCAGAGGAGTTCGATGACATAAGCGAGCATGGCAACAGAAGAGGGCAAGTTCCTCCAGATGGCGGTTACGGTTGGATCTGTGTAGCCGCTTGCTTTACGATCAACTGTTTCACTTGGGGCACAGTCTCTGTAAGCTCATAGTTTTGTACAAAACTTCTTCCCAAGGCTGCAGGTTAAGCCTTTAATTGTTTGTAGCAACTATGGTTCTCGCTTACCTGCCTACCTAGTCATTAGTCTCACTAACCTAATTGTCTAGGCATACGGCGTCTATCTCTCGCATTACTTAGCGGAAGAGGTCTTCCCAGACGCATCAACATGGGATTTCGCGTTCGTCGGCGGCTTCAACTATTCCATAGCCATGCTCATAGCACCTGGTGTAACTATTCTTAATAGAAGGCTTGGCATGCATACCACAATGATCATCGGCTTGATCTTTCAGACCAGTGGGTTTATTGGCGCCTCCTTCGCAACTCGAATATGGCAGTTGTACATCTGCCAAGGTTTTCTCATTGGCTGTGGCATTAGCTTCTTGTATGTCCCTAGCCTCCCTATTCTTTCTCAATGGTTTGTTCGAAAGCGCAGCCTAGTCAACGGAGTAAGCGCTGCAGGCTCAGGTGTTGGCGGCGCTGCCTTTGCCTGGGGTACTGAAGCTATCATTCAGCGTTTTAGCATTGGCTGGGCTTTACGTATCACTGGAATTCTTGCACTTGCGGCCAACCTAGCCGCGATAACAGCAATTAGAGACAGAAATCACATTATCCAACCTTCTCAACTTGGATTTGACACCACACTTCTTCGACGGTACGATGTAATACTGCTACTTGCCTGGGCTGCTATTAGTATGCTAGGTTACGTTGTTCTTCTCTTCTCCTTATCCGACTTTGCTTTGTCCATAGGCCTCGACAGAGCCCAAGCTACGGATGTAGTAGGATTGTTGAATATAGGTACTGCAGTTGGACGACCAGTCATTGGCATACTCAGCGACAGATGGAGCCGAATCGATACAGCAGGTGTTCTTACTCTCTTATGCGGTCTTTCATGCTTCGCCTTCTGGCTACCGGCCACGACTTTTGCACTCACCGTATTCTTTTCAATCGTTTGTGGGGCTATCGTTGGGGTTTTCTGGATGGTGCGTTGTACTAAACTCTCCTTAAGCTTGCAGAGCGCACATGCTAATACCGTCACACATACACAGACTATAGGTCCGCTTTGTGTCGAGGTAGCTGGGTTGAAAAATTTGCAGTCGTTATTGTCCTTGTCTTGGGCAGCAGTAGTGATCCCCACCACTGGTACGTCTTATTTAATTTACCGATCTTGTTCTTAATCTCTCCGCTAACAGCGCTGGCCAGTATCTGAAGGTATTGCGTTGAAACTTCGACAGCCTTCCTCCTCTAGGAGATATCTTTACACTCAAGCTTTCGCTGGGATTTCATATATAATTGCGAGTGGGTTCATGTTCCAACTCCGCAGGGTGAAAGATCGCCAGGCCCCGAATCGTATGGCATAATGCACGGATTTGAGCTTTAGTAATCCATAGACCCCGGTGTTGCAACACAAAGTTCTCAACTTATAATTCCAAAGATTCAGTCTACCCTTCTGCTGTAACGACGGATTTTAGCAATTCACATGTAGAGGAAACTGTAATGGTATGATGATTGTATAGACGATCATCCTAGATATCACTCCTCCTATTCCCTCAAGATTATTTATGCAGCGCACACCCCCTCGTCCAAAAAACGAGTCCCCTCAGCCACTGAAAGCGGCAAAGTGTGGCGTGGGGGGCCCCCTCTGTTTTTGATGAGGGGAGAGGGGGGGCGCAATAAGAGTTAGAAGTTAGAAATTATCCTTGTGGGTATTTCCCGCTGTATCTAACATGTCTTATGTTCTCGCAACATCTTGGTTCTCGTTTGTGCTCGCGCTTCTAGAGATTCATCAGAGTGTTAGGTACGGCGGGTACGGGAATACCTCCGAGTCTCTCGAAATGGATACATGGTAGTATACCAATACCCTAATGTACCAATGGCTATACCTGAGAAGATCAATCCAGGTAGCACTTTCAGCAGAGCTTTCTGGACAAGGTTAAGCGGACAAACAATGGATACTTTCTTTCGATTATTCACGGACGCAGCTAAGTCGGCCGATCTTGGCGTCTGGTGGCAGATTACGTCATTGCCGCTCCTGATTTAACCTCGGTCTTTCTTACACCAACATAGGTTGAACATCCACGTACGTTCTCAGCAACATGACTTCCAGGCAGCCACCAGTAACACGGCCGCAATTGAGAACAAGGATCAGTGACAATAGAGTAACCTCGATAGGGAAGGTACGACGGTTGCTCACATTTGATAATTTCCCTGGAATGCTGAAGTCGAAGAACAGGCTACAGATCGTGAACGTATCCGTAACAACCAGCGACGTTGTCGCGCACGACAAAAAGAGTATATCGCAACTCTCGAAGACAGAATCCGTGAGCTCGAAAGTGATCATGGTGAAAGCAGAGCCAATAAGAAGCTCGAGGAGCTCACTGCCGAAAACAAGTCGTTGAAACAACTTTTACAGTCACTAGGGCTGCGTGACGAATTTCTGGAAGCATACAAAACTGCAGTCAAAATTGCCCCCAATATCTCGTTGCCGCCGCTCGATGACGCGCGTTGTAATCGAGCGAGCCAATGTTTGTCTAGCTCTACTGCGCTGGAATCATCGCAGGTATTTGTACCTCGTAGTTTGAGACTTTGCTCTTGTCTAATACCGACCGGCTGCAGCTACTACAAGTGGCAACCAGTGAAAACCAGGCTGAACAAACAATTGAACCGTTTCTAGACGTTTCGGTCTCGGAACAGGAGTCTCTAGGCTTCAGCCAGATGGATGCGCCTCTGTCATGGGAACTTCTTGACTTTCCTACCGCTTCAACTTCTGCTTTGGAGTTGGTTGAGCCGGACATCAACACGGAGAGACTCGGTCAGCTAACTATGGATACTTTGGTGACGGAAGCACCTAGCAACGCAATCACCGTAGAGCATATATCGGACACGACCACGCTTTGTTCATGGGCTTTATCGCTTGTTCTTAGGAGTAACATGAAAGGCTACAGCACTGCAGACTTGGAACTCATGCTTCGCGTAGGATACAGATACGGTGCCACACCAACTGAAGATTGTCGTATTAATAACAAGGTCTTGCTAGGTGTTCTTGCGAATATCATCTAGACAATGTTCGCCTCCTAGCTTATAATTATCATAGATGTGTCGCGATTTTGGTCATGTACTTGTACGGTCTGGAACGTTGCACATTCCCATAATACAAACCCGCAAAACACTCACTTTGGCTGCCGATGAGATTAACTCATCGACATAACAGCATCCATTATAGGTCCCACATAACCTTGCTTAGGCCTGACAGACTGTTCAGCGAAAGATTTTTATTTCTTGCTTATTAGGGAATGATAGACGGACGCTGATCCCAGTTGGTCCAAAGCATCAGGATCCCCGCCTACCTGTGGCGTAGTTTACTGAAGAAAGAAACCTAGTATGCGTATGGGGGTCTGGTGGCGATCTTGTAACATTTTGGCCTGGCGCACCGGAGAAAGAATTGAAGGAAGCCTGCAATTAAAGACTATGGCATGGTACTATTGCTAAATCCCCTATACTTTACGCACTGCATGCTATGACATGTGCACAGCTTTGGCTGCAACCTTCTCCGCGGCTTTACTAACGCAGTGAGTATATACAGACAAATCCAACATGCACGCAACTACAAGTCATCGCCCTTAATAGACGACTCCTATTCCAATGTTTCTCCTATCTTGCTTCATAAGGGATAGCTGCTTACACTTGCTATTCATACTTGAAGACTAGCTGTGTGTAGATTGAACAAAATTCCTCTTCGTGCTGAGCACAAGGCACTGGCTAGGGGCGTGTGGACAGCTGGGTTCAGCCGCCCTATCAGTAACTACAACTGCAGCAGGGCATGTGGTAAATGGGCTCGGCTTGATAGGCGCAGCCCCTCTTTTTTCTTATCATCTTTCTTTCGCCCCTCTCCTTTGCGCACTCTAAGCGACAGATTTCACATCGAAAAGGGGCTTCTAGTTGTTAACCACTAGCTTATCTTGTTCTTTCAAAGTTGGCTCTCATATATGCACTATCCCATCACACATCCTAGATTTGCTCCGACGCGAATCCAACGTCGGTAAGTTTTCTTAGGAATATTTGCTAATTAGTGGAAGAAGTTAGAGGAGGTATGTTGTATGGAAAGTTGCAGTATTAGAGATCATACATATATATGTTAAAATAAGTAGTTATGATAGCTCCCTTGTGCTAAAGGGGGTTCAGCTTGAGCTCTAATTCCAGTACTCTTAGGTAGACTATCAAAGCCACTTGTTTTTGATCCTTTTTCTAGCTATTGGGACTAGTCTGGCTAGTGTTATGGCCGGTTTTCGAGCTAGTTCTCCGGCTCGTTTTTTTGGCTCGTTTTCGGTTCATTTTCCAAACTGATTTTCGAACTGGTTTTTTGGTTAGTTTTCTGGTTGAGATATTGGTGTCCATTACGTGACTAGGCGCTATCGAAAAACGGAGATTGCTGAAACTTTAACACGGCTAATCAGCGTAGAGTTTCTTAGAGCTAATTAAATCGCATTTCTTCTTGTACAAGAACCTCTTCTGTGATCGATTGTAATATGCTGCTAAAACTGCGATTTTGGAGCCAATGCCAAGGTCTCTATGGACCAGTTTCCGTTTGATAGGATTTGGTGTTGGACTTTGCGAACATATTGTATACCGTACACTAGGGATGGTAGCCCTTAACAGTTAACTGTTTCTGCCCACCAAATTATTACACCAAATTCAGCTCCAAGTACTCAAACCCCATGTCTACCGGTGGCACCCCCAAGATACCCATTCCAATCCTCTTCCAAAACCCCTGCCTTCCTTCTACCTCGCTCACCAGCATAACCCAACACACCCTCTCCCCCTCAATTCCCACTTTGGGAGTCTGCCCAGAAGCCAACTAGCATTCCCATTGCGTTTCTCCCTTGCCCCCTCTCCAAGAACATCACACTTACCTTCGCTTCGTCTCCGAACCTACTCGTGTCAAACACGAAATTATACTTCCTTAGCTCGGTCCATTCCGTCTCCTCGAATTGTTTCGGTAATTCGAACATCGAAACTGGGTTTTCTAGATACTGAGGAGATGGGATTGCGCTTGGGAGACGGGAAGGCCCAATATGAGCTTCGTCAATACCACGAAAGAGTATAGAGCTTCTTTCTTCCATGATCGGTGCCCATATGCGGTCGAACATATTACAGAGCCGCTCGCAGCAAACCAGGAGAATGCATTTCACTCGACTAGTTGTTAACACGCAGTCAGGAACTGCGGCATCGTCTAAGCTGGCGAGTCCAATAGCAGTCTCGCGGTTAGGGTCTCTGGGATCGAAGAGAAAGAGCACAGGACGGCTTGTCGTGTGCGCGAAGTACAGCAGTACGGACTCAGGAACTAGAGAGCATTTCCATGGGACGTGGTTCTGGGCGGCGATCCAATTTCGACTCGTTTCTGTTGCTACAAGCGATCCCATCGGTGCGGTGGTACTCAAGACTCCAATTTCATTGATTCGAAGACTGCCTTTTGTGTGATTTACCGCCGTCAGGTTAAAGCCAAATTGAACCATTGTCTTCCAGTAAAACTTCGGTCCGGTTCTCCTCGCAAAGCTCCAGGATGGTGCATCTGGACCTTTGACCTCGTACTCTGGCCCACTCATCATCCACAGTAGTAACTCTGGCATATGTGTCCAGACTCCAAAGTGGTAGGACCCTTTCATGGTTGTCTTCATCTGCCTGGCAACACCTTCCAATGCAATGTGCCGGTCTGTCTCGTACGTCAGCTGGTCGGCGGAATACCGCTGCAGCAGCTCTGGCCACGAACGCTTCTCTTCCATGTCGTAGTATACCTCGCGCTTGTTCCATTCGGCTTCTCTGCACTTCCACGATATGCCACCATGTGTGAAGAAGAACATGCGCCGAGAGAGATACCATTCCTGACGCGCCCAAGCGCGTGAGCCCAGGCGAGTGTATTATTATTATTCCATTATAGTCCTGTATCAGCCGTTGGCTATGTAGGACTTTGGCCAAAGGCCGTTCTATCTAACTAGTTACAATTTGGTACGTTGTGCTATATTGCGTGACTGTGGTGCTTCGGCCTTTATCTAGCTAAGCTTTGACTAGCTTTATAGATGC